GTAGTTAATAGTGGTAGTTAATAGTAGTTAATAGTGGTAGTTAATAGTGGTAGTTAGTAGTAGTTAATAGTAGTTAATAGTAGTGGTAGTAGTTTATATTAGAAAACTTTCACCAGAGAATGAATTGTGAGATCTGGTCCTGACGTTCAGATCTGAATCTCTTAGAATCGTAGTCAAAGGCTTCCTGTTAGTGTGTGTGTGGTTTCGTGTGTGTTTCCCTCTGATCTGGGTTAATAATAGTCCGCTTGTTGCTGCTCTGAAAGATGCAGATGGGGGTTCAATTTGTTGTGGTGAAGCAGCCGTCGTCAGGCCTCTGACCCCCCCCCCTTATGTGTTAAAGCTGCATTCTCTCTAGTGTCCACCAGGGGGCGACTCCTCTGGTTGTATAGAAGTCTATGAGAAAGTGACTCTACTTCTCTCTTGATTTATTACCTCAGTAAACATTGTAAACATGAGTTTATGGTCTCAATCTCTAGTTTCAAGATGGCGGACAAAACACAAACTAAGGATCCTCCTCACCTCGGGAATGTTTACCATCATTAACGGTTTTAATTTAGTCCACTATTTGATTGTCGCGCTTCAGGTTTCACAGCAGAGCTATGTTTAGACTCAGCAGAGCAGCTTCATTACTGCCACTAATAACAACAACAATCATAATGAACTCCATCACTTCGCTCCTCCACTGAGAGCTCAGCATGTGTCTCAGACTCAAAGTTCCGTCTCTTTTAGTCGTCGAGATGAATTCATTAAATAAAGTGTTGAAGGTTTTAGGAGAACGTGTTTGAAGCTACAGACTCAGTGTGAGTGCAGCTGCTCCCTCCTGTGGCCGTTTACCTGCATGTGTCACAATGTAGTTTAATATCATTTAATAAACGACCTTCATCTCATGTTTCCTGTGGTGAAGCCCCTCCCCCTTTGCATCACACGTGAAGCTGCTCCTGGACGGTTTAACGATCTCACATCTTTTATGTTTTCACCATCGTTTCTCCTTGTTTACATTTTTTGACCTCTGCTCTAAATACTACAACACCCATGAGCCTTTGCACTTGTTATGGTGATGTCAGAGGAAAACTTTGTCGTGGAAATGAAGCGATGTCAGCTGCAGAATGTGTTTTGGGAAGTTTACTGGGTTCAATCCCAGCATGCATTGGGCCGAAAGTCTGTCACATGACTTTGATGTTTTTAATTCTTGTTTTTTTTTAAGATTTAGGTTTCAGGATTTCAAACATCTAGAAACCTTTGGAAACACGTGACTCTCGACATTGTGATGTCAAATAAAGCAGATTAAGTTTATTTGATGCTTCACACAAAAGGAAAACTTGATGTTTCTCATTTTACGTAATTAACAATTATAGTTCTGAATGACATCGAACGACCAATCACAACCGTTCTGGATCAAGTTACCAAAGAACCAAAGCCGAGCCGAGAAAAACACCAAAAAAAAGGAAGATTTGGTTGTAAAAAGAAAAGCAACACGAGTTGAATGGAAATATTTTGTCTGAAAAACTGATGTCGGGAACAAACTGGTTCTTTGTCGCCATCTGGTGAAAATATTGCAACCCGAGAGTTCATTGGAAAACAGCTGTTTGACCAGAAACGTCTGAACTCAAGGTCCAGTTACGCTCTTCTGGAGCTTTAAACCACTTCTTCAGGGCTGAGTTCTGAGGAAGACTTTGAAATGGAGTCAAAAGCTCCAGAACCAGCAAATCAGTGGAATTTGAGTAAAGATTGTAACCGGACTGTTACGTCATGAATAATCGTGTCTCGTGCTTCTGTTTTCGTTTCAGTAAACGAGATAATCGACAGAGACATCTGCAGCCTGAGCAGCAGCGTCCAGCCCGACCAGTTGGACCAGTACCACGAGCTGGACCAGTACCACCAGTACGACTGGGAGCACAAGTCGTCCGCTGACGCCGCCTCGCCGTTCTGCGGAGGAGGAGCTCAGTGAGACGGGAGACGACCGCGACGCTTTATTCGCTTCTTCTTGGAGACAAAAACAACAAACGGTCACCGAACTGATCCTCAAGTGCCTGAACAACCAATCAGAAGCCTCCGACGAGTCCGCGGGCTCGAACTCATCAGGGCGTCACACGGCGGTTTCCTCAGGAATCTTTAGCGGGACTCGAACCCTCGCTAACAAACCAAAGACGTCGTCTTCTAGCTTTACTTGACTGAATTGTAAGAAACAATCAAAGGGCTGAAAGTCAACTTTACGTAATCAGAACAATGAGTGACGGCGTCACAGAGGCTGAAATAAAGACCTTTATTTATTGGCCGGTTAATTAAGGAATCTATTTTTGATACTCTGGATGTGATTCAGTAAGAAGCTCTTCAGACCATCATCCACTTCAGAGGCTGCTTTGACTCTCTGCACGGTTTACATTTCACATTAATGTTCAACTCAGATGTTTATGAAGCTTCACACACGGAGTTATAGAAATGTATCGTAAAGGTTGAAGTAAAAAGAACGTAAACGAGAGTCTGTGTTTTTATCAATGTGTGAGAGCTTCATCCACGTGTTCCTGGTCTCTGATCATGTTTCATTCTAAACAACCAATCAGAGGAGAGCTGGTAACGTTAGCAGCACCGCTAACGGCTAACCAACGGAGGTTCACTTCAGTTACATGATGATGCCTTCAGGCTCTGCTCAGTGAACATGAGTACTGGCTGAAGGCACATTATAACGTTATGATGAAGTGCAGTGATTGGTTCATGACAGGAAGTAAAGTTCTGTAGTATAAAGACGTAATTTCACTTAAAGTGATATTGATTCTTTTAGGAGTCTAGAATACGTCCACAGCAGTACATCTACTGTAGTAATACTCAGAGTATGTAGAAGTACTTCTAAACATCAGTACTGTCCCTTTAAGGCACTGACTCCGGGTTCTCAGAGCAGGTCGTGTTAACGAGCTGCAGGAATGTGATTAAAGAGTAAATCAGCTCTGAATCACACAGAGACAAACATTCAACACAAATACACTAAATAATCTGTTTTTATTCTGTTATAAAACAAACATTTAAAGGGGACACAATCCACGAGAAAGGCTGTTTAAAAAATGATCCGTTTGTGTTTTTAAAGATTATTATTTCTCTGAATATTGGTTAAAACACCACATGTGTCATGATTCTATTCATAGTGAGAATCTGTAGCAGCAGCTTCAGTATTGATCTGCTCGTTAAGGCGTAACTTTATCAGTGTTTCTCTGCGGCTCCTTTAACCACCACACCCAGCAGTGATGTCACAGTGTACTGGACTACACAGTGACATCACTGCTGCACGATGAGGTCTTCAAACACACGAAGACTTCCAGCCGCTGTGGAGACTCTTTGGCCCCTCAAAGGAACCAGAAGTGAAACTACCATCTTCACCGTCATCATTTAAAGAGCTGCTGGTCTGGGTCCGTCTGAACAGAGCAGAACTCCTCCACAGCTGATCCTGATGTCCAGCAGCTGTTCCTACAGGTGTAAACCAGCACCGTCCCAAACTCCAGCTCGGCCTCACCACCACCACCACCGTCCGTCCTCCGCAGCAGACTGACCAGAGCCGGCATCAGCTGCAGCTCGAAGGTCCTGGTTCCTCCACAGTTGCCGCATGTCGTCGTCGCCACGTCGGCCGGCGGCTCGGAGATGAAGAGCGGCCTCCCACCGCGACAGTAGCGCAGGATCTGCTGAGGACAGAGCGAGATCTTCTTCATGAACCTGGAGAAGATGGCGTCTCCGTGTCTGGCTCTCGTCTTCTCGTACTTCTCCTCCCCTCCTCCTCCTCCTCCTCCCCTGTCCTCCAGCTCTCCCACCGCCACGCCCTCCCTCCTCTCATACTCCCTCAGCAGCCGCTGGGCGTGCCGCAGGTCGTCGTCTTCCTCTCCGCACAGATCCGACTCGTCCACCACGCTGATGAAGAACGCCCGGAGGACGGGCACCTCCTCCTCCTCTTCCTCCTCCTGGGAGTCCACCAGACGGAGATCCTGAAGCTGGCTGCTGACGTCGACCTCACTGGCTGCTGAGGGGAAAAATAAACGGGTCAAAATGACCAAAAAGCAGTTCACCTGACGATTAAGATGCTCATCCATGTTATTAAACTACACGGTGAGCTCAGACACTGTGACTCATTCTGTTATTTAACAGAACTTTTAATTTTACGTCTACTATAAAGACGAGTATGTAAACAGATAAAAAGGGAATAATGTGTGTATATAGTATATATATATATACACATATACACTGCTCAAAAAAATAAAGGGAACACTTAAGCAACACATCCTAGATCTAAATGAATGAAATAGTCTTATTAAATACTTTGTTCTTTACATAGTTGAATGTGCTGACAATAAAATCACACAAAAATTATCAATGAAAATGAAATTTATTAACCCATGGAGGTCTGGATTTGGAGTCACACTCAAAATTGAAGTGGAAAAACACACTACAGGCTGATCCAACTTTGATGTAATGTCCTTAAAACAAGTCCAAATGAGGCTCAGTAGTGTATGTGGCCTCCACGTGCCTGTATGACCTCCCTACAACTCCTGGGCATGCTCCTGATGAGGTGGCAGATGGTCTCCTGAGGGATCTCCTCCCAGACCTGGCCTAAAGCATCCGCCAACTCCTGGACAGTCTGTGGTGCAACGTGGCGTTGGTGGATGGAGCGAGACATGATGTCCCAGATGTGCTCAATTGGATTCAGGTCTGGGGAACGGGCGGGCCAGTCCATAGCATCAATGCCTTCGTCTTGCAGGAACTGCTGACACACTCCAGCCACATGAGGTCTAGCATTGTCTTGCATTAGGAGGAACCCAGGGCCAACCGCACCGGCATATGTTCTCACAAGGGGTCTGAGGATCTCATCTCGGTACCTAATGGCAGTCAGGCTACCTCTGGCGAGCACATGGAGGGCTGTGCGGCCCTCCAAAGAAATGCCACCCCACACCATTACTGACCCACCGCCAAACCGGTCATGCTGGAGGATGTTGCAGGCAGCAGAACGTTCTCCACGGCGTCTCCAGACTCTGTCACGTCTGTCACATGTGCTCAGTGGAACCTGCTTTCATCTGTGAAGAGCACAGGGTGCCAGTGGCCAAGTTGCCAATCTTGGTGTTCTCTGGCAAATGCCAAACGTCCTGCCCGGTGTTGGGCTGTAAGCACAACCCCCACCTGTGGACGTCGGGCCCTCATACCACCCTCATGGAGTCTGTTTCTGACCGTTTGAGCAGACACATGCACATTTGTGGCCTGCTGGAGGTCATTTTGCAGGGCTCTGGCAGTGCTCCTGCTGCTGTTCCTCCTTGCACAAAGGTGGAGGTAGCGGTCCTGCTGCTGGGTTGTTGCCCTCCTACGGCCTCCTCCACATCTCCTGATGTACTGGCCTGTCTCCTGGTAGCGCCTCCATGCTCTGGACACTACACTGACAGACACCGCAAACCTTCTTGCCACAGCTCGCATTGATGTGCCATCCTGGATGAGCTGCACTACCTGAGCCACTTGTGTGGGTTGTAGACTCTCATGCTACCACTAGAGTGAAAGCACCGCCAGCATTCAAAAGTGACCAAAACTTCAGCCAGAAAGCATAGGAACTGAGAAGTGGTCTGTGGTCACCACCTGCAGAACCACTCCTTTATTGGGGGTGTCTGTCTTGCTAATCGCCTATAATTTCCACCTGTTGTCTATTCCATTTGCACAACAGCATGTGAAATTGATTGTCAGTGTTGCTTCCTAAGTGGGCAGTTTGATTTCACAGAAGTGTGATTGACTTGGAGTTACATTGTGTTGTTTAAGT